ATCATCATCATCATCATCATCATCATCATCATCATCATCATCATCATACTTTGAAAAGGCACAAAATTCTTCTTATGGTATTCTTTTCTTGAGCTCTGGTAATAGCTGCATGAAGCATTTTCCATCACCATTTGCTGTGCCATGCTAGTCTTTAGGCCCACTCTCAAGCACAACAGACAGTAGCTCTCTTGCCCCATGTCAGAAAGTGGTTGGTTCAAAACCCAGTTCAGACACTTGAGCATAGCAGCCACGCTGAAAAAATGCTGCACTGATGCTGTGTTTTAGTTGTTACATTTAGATTAAACTGAATCTGTAGTGTCTCTCATGTACACACGTTCTTGCTAAGCATAGAAAACGTATTCTGCTGTCATGGCTGATTTTTGTTTATTTCCACTAACGTCCAAGGGCTGGCTGCATAGACAAATTTGCTATTGATCCACTGATAGAATCCCTGCCATGTGGGAGCAGGCTATTTGGCCCACCCAGACCCATTCCCATTCCCCTCCCTGATCCCTGTAACTCTGCATTTTCCATGGCTAATCTACCTAACTGCACATCATTGGAATGAAACCAGAGTGTCAAGAGGAAACCCACACAGACATGAGGACAATGTGGCATTGAACCCAGGTCCATGGTGCTGTGAGTCAGTGCTGCCCAGCATGGGCAAGAGAGCTACTGCACACAAGGCCCATGCTCAAGACTAGCATGGTGCAATAAATGATACAGTATAAGACACCAAATAGCTATGGAAATAGGTTGGAAATAATCTGCAAAGGGATGGAGACAGGTTAAGCCAGTGGGCAAAAGTTTGGCATATGTAGTTTGTGAGATAATGCAAGGTCACCTACATTGGTGGTAGAATAGAAAAGCAAAACTTTAAATGAAGAGAGCCAGCAGAAAGCTGAAGTACAGAAGAATCTGGTTGTCCTTTTACAAGAAGCTCAAAAAAAATTAGCACACAAGTATTTGGGAAGGCAAATAGAATGTCGGCCTGTCTTGCAAGTGAGAAAGGTGAACAAAAGTATAGGAGTGATGCTACAGTTATATAGGCCATAGGTGAGAGTGCTGCAGGTGTACTGTATACAGTCTTGGTCTCCTTTCCTAAAGAGGGATATGTTTGCATTGGAAGCAGTTCTGAGAAGATCCACTGGGCTGCCTCCTGTGCTAAGGACAGTATCCTTTAAAGGTTGAGCAGATGAGGCCTACACTTACTGAAATTTGGAAGAATGAGGGGATGATCTTGTAAGATTCTGAATGGGGTTGTCAAGGTGGATGCTGAGAGGATGTTCCCTCCTACTTAGATAATTCAGAACCAGGGGCAGAGAGGTATTTCATTTAAAAGTGAGCTGGATAGCAATTTCCTCAGGGCCTCATTTGACAGACTTTTTTGATCTACAAGGGGGGGTCCAGTGCAAACTAGAAGATGAAGATAAGGTCACAATCAGATCAGCCATTATTTTATTGAATGGCAGAGCAGGCTAGATGGGCTGAGTAGTCGTCACCTTCAATTTGGTCTAATACAGGTGATCTGGTCACTTATGGTTTGTGGTGGCTTACTATGAATAAATATGTTGCCATATTTCCTACATTTACAACAGTGATCAGACTTCAAAACATATGTTGGATGTAAAGATTGTTGCGCTTGTGACGTTGTCAATGCAAGCTGTTTTTCTTGTAGAGCTTGCTTTGTTACCCTGTATATCTCGTAGTATGGAGAGAGTGCTGTATTGGTGGAGTTGCAACCTGTACAGATCACTGGATATGCTGAGATAACAAGGTGTAGAGCTGGATGAACACAGCAGGCCAAGCAGTATCAGAGGAGCAGGAAAGCTGACGTTTCAGGTCTAGACCCTTCTGCTACTGCTTAAACAATGCAGAGAACGAGTTCCACCCCCATGACAAATTGGCAAACTGAATTGAATTTTTTTTGGCAGGGCAGAAAAATAACCATAAATTGTGGGATTATTGTAAAATCTTGACTCAGCTGATGGATTTGTTCAAGCAGATACAAATTTGATGGCACTACGTTACTTGAAGAGAAGAACAGACAATTTTCAGTCTACTGGCTAAAAAGTCATTGCCTAATTAATGCTGTGAATTAGTCCTTAAGTCTTAGATGTTGTTTGCAGGGAATTGCTGACACAGAACGGTGGTTGTCTTTTTTCCCTGCAGAACTCTTAATGCATTTTAAAGTAATTAATTGCATGGAATGCTCAGTGTGACAAAGTAGGTTTATTAAACTTGGCTGCTGTCCTCCAATATATTTTCCCTCAGCACATCAGCTGTTATTAATGGCAAATTGCCCAACATCTTCTGTTATGGCTGAATTTGTTTAGAAACAAGTTTTTTTTTTTTTTTTTTTTTTTAAACCACAAAATATCAGATCAGTTTGATTTTACAACTGACCATGCTTTGGACTCTGAATCTCTGCATTGCTGTATCTGATACGTCAGAACGTGTAGAACGAGAGATCTAGTGAAGAGAGATATGCACCAACTTGGCCTTTTGTTAACTTCTCGGTTTGCTGCAATGAACTATCCTATGCCTGTGTGTTTTTACTGTGCAGCGGGAAAGCTTTCAAGAGAATAAAGAAAAAATGTGCATGCCATTCTGAAAGTTGGGAGAACAAATATAACTGAGCTGCAGGATTTAACTTCCAACCCATCAGCTGAAAGAGTTCAGCAAGACTGTTCCCGAGCACTGTTGAAATTTCTGCAAGGTCGTGTTCTGTAAATGCTACTTCAGTCTTTTTGTTTTTTTTTTGGTTTCAGCAGTTACTCGAGCTCCAAGTAGAAGCAAGGAGCAGAACCAACCTTGCAAAAAAAAAAGCAAAATGCGAGCTGAGCCTATATTAACCAGTGACACAAAAGCAGAAGTTGCTGTAAGCACCCAGCAGCATCTATGGAGAGAAAGCAGATTTAACCAAAAAAAAAAATAAGAAATAAGAAAATTACAGTACAGGAACAGGCCCTTCGGCCCTCTAAGCCTGCACCAATATGCTGCCAGTCACAACTAAAACCTCCTACCCTTCCGGGGACCGTATCTCTCTATTCCCATCCTATTCATGTATTTGTCAAGACGCCCTTTAAAAGTCACTATCGTATCTGCTTCCACTACCTCCCTGGCAGCGAGTTCCAGGCACCTACCACCCTCTGTTTCTTTAAAAAAAAAAGTAGTTTCAGGCCCAGTGACCTTGCTTCAGAACTGTGATAAAACTGTCAAAGAAATCTGCCGTCCTTACCTAGTCAGATATACATGTGACGCCAGATCCACAGCAATGTGTTTGATTCTTAACTGCCCTCTAAAATGATCAGTTTGCTCTGTTCGAGGCCTATTTGGGATGGGCAACAAATGCTGGCCTTGCCAACAAGACCCGCACTCAATGAATGAACAAATGGGGGACAAAATCTGGTGTCATGGTCAAATGTTCTTGGGAACAAGCTTGTGTCGGGTGATCAGTGTTCTAATATAATATCTTTTCCTGACCGAGCAGGCTAATGACTTCCTACGGCTAGGGAAGGGAATGATGGAAGACTTGCGACGCAGGTTGCCATTGTACCTATCAGATTATACTGACGGTGAGTAAACATTATTATTTTATACCATATTTACACTGACCTTGGCCTTACTCATGCTGATTGAGACCATGTTGAAATGTCTCAAGAAGCAAGTGCAATGGCCACAAAGTACATTCCATACAAAAGGCTTCTACTGAATCATTGGTCGCTGTTCAGTTCCTTTCGGCTCACCCTGCAAGCGGGCAATGCTGTCATGAGATGTATGTTTTGAACTGTTGGTCCGGTTGTATCCAGGAGGTTTGGAGAGGGAGGCTTTGAATACTAGGGAGGGAGAGAGCCCCTGGTGGAGGAATTGGAGAGATCAAGAAGCCCTGGGAATTCAAGTGAGATGATTGTGCCGATGCTGTAGATGACATTGGCCCTGTCCATAGCAGGGAGTGGGTCTTTAGTTCGGGTGGGCAGTTGTCGTCATAGGGTTGATGTGGGCTTATGTGCCACTCTGATGCCCAGCGGTCGTAGGAGTCTTGTGGTGAGTTCTGACGTGTTCCTGATGTAGGGTAGTGAACACATTGAACTCGACCCCATATACATTCCACTACGAAGGAAAACCGGAAGTGAGGCAATCCATCTCAACGGACCCCGGAGTTTAAAAACCAGGTGGGAAAACACACTGACGCTTCATCGGAGGCTGCACTGAGGATGTTACCAAGCACGGTAATGAAAAGTCTGCGAAACAACAAACCAGCTCAGCGAGCCAACCAACCTCAATACCCACAAACCGAGCTACAGATCTACTCCAAAACCATTGATTTTTTTTTGAGGTTCGGCAGTTCTTGAATCTGTCCTGATGAGTGTGAGATGGAAAGCTCCGACTGGGTATCATTTCTTTTCAGTAATACTCCAATTCTGTACTCCCAAGCAATTGATTTTAAACTTTTATTAAAATTATTGGATGGAGAATTATGAGCTTGAGGGTAAGTAATTTCCTGATGTGTGCTTCGAGAATGCACCAGGGGAGTGGAAGTAGTAAATTTATTATGTTATGACTCTGTGCTGATTTTATGCTGGCACTTCCACAAACAAACAGAAATTACCTCATGAAATTTTGTTTATGCATTTATCAATTCCATAACCAGTTTTCTTTTAAAAAAAAAAAAAATCAGAATGAAGCTATTTTTCCTCCATTGGATTTCCAGGTTTGCAGGTCTCTTTGCCCATGTTTTGTTCAAGGGTATTGTTTGACATCAGCACAATTGGCTAATCCATAGCTCATAAACGTGCACTCTTGGAGCTTTGAGAATTCAATCCGTTGTGAGTTGTCTGGCTGAGGCGCAAATCTTTTAAATCTTCAGAATTGGTTAGAGTCGTGCATGAATTTCTGGAATCCACATTACAGGAGGGATATGACACCTCTGGAAAGGAGGTTTACCAGGATGTTTCCTGGGCTGGAGAGTTTGTGATTGAGAGAGATTGGATAGACTCTGGTTGCTCTTATTTTTTAGAACAGAGGTGATTAAGAGGGGACATGATTGAGATGTATGAAATAATGACAGGCATAGATAGGGTAGACAAGAAGAGACTTTTCCTCTTGATCGAGGGGCCACTGAATAGGGAGCATTGACTTCAAGGGGCAGGAGGCTTAAAAGAAATGAGAAAAAAAACCTTTTTCATCCGGTGGATGGTGGAAATCTGGAGCTCACTGCCTGTAAGGGGGGGTTAGAGGCAGAAACCTTCTTCACATTGAAGAAGTATTTAGATGTGCTGTTGTAATGCCAAGGCATTCAAGGCTATGAGCCAAGTGCTTGAAAATGGGATTAGAATGGTGAGACATAGTAGGAACTGCAGATGCTGGAGAATCTGAGATAACAAGGTGTAGAGCTGGATGAACACAGCAGGCCAAGCAGCATCAGAGGAGCAGGAAAGCTGACGTATCGGGTCTGGACCTTTTCTTCAGAAATGGTTCAGAATCGTTAGGTTGTTTTTGACAGGCACGCACTCAATCATCCCTTTTTTTTCTTTTGCTGTAGATCTGTATGACTCTAAATATAGACCTGGGGCATTGAGAATAACTCTGTAATTATTTTTCTTTCAATTTTCTTTATTCTTCCATCGGATGTCAGAACGTTGCTGACAAGGTCAGCATCTGTTACCCATCCCTAACTGAACTGTGTAGCTTGCTGGGCCATTTCAGAACTCTCCATTGCTGGTTCACTCCAGCCCAGGCAACATCCTGGTAAATCTCCTCTGCACCCTCTCCAATGCTATCACATTCTTCCTGTTGATGTGGATTCCAGAACCGCGCACACTACTCTTTACGGATTCTGAAGGTTTAGAAGATTTTGCTGCAGCCAACCAAGTTGGAGGAGAAAACGCTATTAAATTCTCAAAGCACCAGCAGAGATCCCATCAGGCCTATTGCCCATCTTTGTCCTTTCCAGAACAATGTTGAATCTAACAGAGTTATGATCGCAGTCTGCAAAGTACTCCCCCCACTGATACTTCAACCACTTAGCCATTAGCCTCACTACATAAAATTAAGTCCTGATGCTGCTTTTCCTATGTTAAATGGTAAGTAACACTTCAAAAGTACTTCCAGTTGTAAAGTACTTTGAGAGGTTTTAGAGAACTATGTATTTGAGAACCTGCTAATACAAATCGAAATAAGGGGGTGTTACAGTGCATAGAGTGTTGAGGCTTACTTATGAGTAGGGAACAACAGCCTCTGGGACAGCGTACATTCAGACACTTTTTTGGCCTGCTGGATTCCAGCCAGATATCTCAAAACGCAGGCAGGAGTCATGCCACAAAGCACAAGAGAAAGTATGGATAGGAGTGTTTCCAGAAAAGCTTTTGGGTGAGCTGAGAAGCCAATGCAACATCACTAACTTGCAAAGCCAGGAGTCATTGTTGCCAACAACAATTAAAATAGCAGCATAAGCTTATACCATAAGCTATAGGAGCAGCATTAAGTCATTCAGCCCATCAAGTCTGCTGTGCCATTTGATTGTCGGATATGTTTCTCAACCCCATTCTCCTGCCTTCTCCCTGTAGCCCTTGATCCCCTTAGCATTCAAAAACCTATCTATCTCACTCTTAATGACATAGATCATAGATCATAGAATCCCTGCAGTGTGGAAACAGGCCATTCGGCTCAACAAGTCCACACTGCCCCTCTGAAGAGCCCCCTTTTCCCCCTGTCTAACCCAAACATCCCTGGAAACTATGGGCAATACATCTACCCTGCACATCTTTGGACTGTGGGAGGAAACCCACACAGACACAGAGAGAATGTGTAAATTCCACACAGACAGTTGCTCAAGGTTGGAATTGAACCCAGGTCCCTGGTGCTGTGAGGCAGTAGTGCTAACCACTGAGCCACCGTGCTGCCCTAGGGCCCCATAGTCTTCTGTGGCAATGAGTTCCACAGATTAACCACCCTCTGGCTGAAGAAATGCTTTCTCCTCTCTGTTCCAAAGCACTCTCAGGCTGTGCCCTGGGTCATTGTCTCTTCTACGAGTAGAAACTTCTTCACTTCCACGATAACTTGAGCCATCACCTGTTGTTGACTAATTTTCTCTAATGCCTTTCATTTGGGAAAATGCAACTCTAGTTTAACTTCTTCTAAAGCCCCTTTCCACTTCAATTGCTGTTTAGCCTGCCAATGTTCTGGTTAACTAGCAATCCTGGTAGCTATAAGAAAATGGTCTCCAAATGTGGAAACCCAGCAAAGTCTGAGCCCAGAAGCACACTTTCTTGAGACAACAAGGTGCAGGGCTGGATGAACACAGCAGGCCAAGCAGCATCATAGGAGCAGAGAGGCTGACTTTTCGGGCCTAGACCCTTCATCAGAAAAGGCGGAGGGGAAGGGGGTTCTGAAATAAATAGGGAGAGAGTGGGAGGCGGATAGAGGAGAGGCTAGGTGGAGAGGAAACAAACGGGTCAAAGAGGCGGGGATAGACCCAGTAAAGGTGAGTGTAGGTGGGGAGTTAGGGAGGGGATAGGTCAGTCCAGGGAGGACGGACAGGTCAAGGGGGCGGGATGAGGTTAGTCGGTAGGAGGTGGGGGTGTGGCTTGAGGTGGGGGTGTGGCTTGAGGTGGGAGGAGGGGATAGGTGGGAGGAAGAACAGGTTAGGGAGGCAGGGACGAGCTGGACTGGTTTTGGGATGCGGTAGGGGGAGGGGAGATTTTGAAGCTTGTGAAATCCACATTGATACCATTGGGCTGCAGGGTTCCCAAGCGGAATATGAGTTGCTGTTCCTGCAACCTTCGGGTGGCATCGTTGTGGCACTGCAGGAGGCCCAGGATGGACATGTCGTCTGAGGAATGGGAGGGGGAGTTGAAATGGTTCGTGACTGGGAGGTGCAGTTGTTTATTGCGAACCGAGCGCAGGTGTTCTGCAAAGCGGTCCCCGAGCCTCCGCTTGGTTTCCCCGATGTAGAGGAAACCACAGCGGATGCAGTATACCACATTGGCAGATGTGCAGGTGAACATCTGCTTGATATGGAAAGTCGTCTTGGGGCCTGGGATGGGGGTGAGGGAGGAGGTATGGGGGCAGGTGTAGCACTTCCTGCGGTTGCAGGGAAAAGTGCCGGGTGTGGTGGAGCTGGAGGGGAGTGTGGAGCGGACAAGGGAGTCACGGAGAGAGTTGTCCCTCCGGAAAGCAGATAAAGGTGGGGAGGGAAAGATGTCTTTGGTGGTGGGATCGGATTGCAGATGGCGGAAGTGTCGGAGGATGATGCGTTGGATCCAGAAGTTGGTGGGGTGGTACGTGAGGACGAGGGGGATTCTTTTCTGGTTCTTATTGCGTGGACGGGGTGTGAGGGATGAGTTGTGGGAGACACGGTTGAGGGCGTTCTCGACCACTGAGTTGGGGGGAAGTTATGGTCCTTGAAAAACGAGGACAACTGAGATGTACAGGAGTGGAATGCTTCCTCCTGGGAGCAGATGCGGCGGAGGCGAAGGAGTTGGGAATAGGGGATAGCATTTTTGCAGGAAGGTGGGTGGGAGGAGGAGTATTCTAGGTAGCTGTGGGAGTCGGTGGGCTTGAAATGAATATTGGT